ACCTTCAGAAGAGCGTGACATAAAGTAGCATTTGGTCTGGTTCTAGCTAAGACCTTAAGAAGTCTAAGTCTTCCTGATAGCAACAGTTAAGTTTTCTTCAAATTCTAGTATAATGGTTAGAGTCTGCTATTTGAGGCAGGCAATTTTATTAGTGATTTATAGTGCTTAAAGTTGTTCATCTGTAGTGTCAACAACAATTGTTATATTGCTGATTGAAATCTTACAGAATTTAAATACTTTTTACTGTCACTCTGAGCAGAATGTTTCTATTTGCAAGGTATATCTGACTTGACCTACATAGCATCTTTACCTCTTAATCTGATTGCTTTCATTGGCTTTCCTACCCAGATGCCCATCGTGTTTTTACAACTTGATAAACCTCTTCTGTGAACTGACTTGTAGTCCAAATCAGTCTGACTTTTTGAATGTTACAAGCACCATACCTTATTATGATCCTGTTTTAAAAGAGAACAAAAGCAGCATTACAGAGCTGCAGTACTTTATTGGAGATCAATTTGCAAATGGTGAGTAAACAATGTGTTAATTTACCTTGGCTTTTGTCCAGGTAACAAGACCAGTGCTTTTTCAGAAAGAATTTGGAGAGGGAAACATCTCTTTGACTGTCTTTTGAAGTTTGACTCATCACATAGGTAACAGTAGGTCCCCCTTAAAACTTATGGAACACTTAACTTCTGTCTGGGCAGGGCACGTTACACTGACGCTGTTATTACTGTTTTAAAGGTTCAGTTGAGGATGAACATCTATACAAACACTTAATAGCTGATAACCCTGAGGACTTTAACTTCAGAAAAATAAAGTTGTTGCCAAGTATAGAATGTCCAAAGCCTACCTGATACTAAAACAGTCTGGCAAGCATGATAATAAAGTTTGTACACAGTGTACTATGGTGATTCTCTAAGAGGCACTTAGTTCTGAAATGGACAGTCTAGTCCTTTGTCAAAATCAGATGTTTTTAGAGAGCAATTCATTTGGGTTGTATTTTGATTCTGCAGAAAGCTTAAAGCATTAAATCAGTCTTTTTATGCTTTTTTTGCAGTAACCTTTAATAAAATTGAGACACTTGAAAGTCATATATGGCCTACAAGTTGAAAGTACCTTAAATGCTTTTCATAGCTTTCCCTGAAAATAATACTAGGTAATGGTTCCTGTCAAGCAGAAAAGTAGGTTCTGGCATAATGCAGCGTTGGGTGGCTTTCTCAGAGCAAGGTAGCTATAGCAAAGCATTGCAACCTTGAATATTAGAAATACAGCTGAAAGCATTAGTTCACTTTCCTAAGATAGATGTTTCTACTTGAAAACTGTATGTATGTTCGTGGAACTTGGGGATTCAGTAATATTGGAAATACTTGGAATGCTTACTCAAGTGATAACATTGGTTTAATGACTCTTCCCAGCAATGTACAATGCCTGCAAAGATGTGGAGGCTCCATCGAGCAATGTTAAAGCACTGGGGTTGCTGTGTGGGAAGGATGTCAAGGACTGCAATGCAACCAACTGGATTGAGTACATGTTTAGTAAAGACAATGGACAAACTCCTTTCAGCATAATTCCAATCTTTTCAGGTAAGAACCTGAATCATCCTTACCTTTGAAGCTCCTGTCAAAGGTGGGGTGCTATGGCTAGGACATTGGTTTTTAAACAGCTGTCCTGCAATGAAAGTCTGCGGTCAGGGGCTTTCAAAGCAATGTGAAATTACGGGGTTTTTTTATTTCTGCTTGGAAACCATACTTAGTGCTTTTTTTCTATACAGCTTCTTTTTGTAGAAATCTCTAGAACTCACTGATGGACTGAGCCTAGGCAACTGGCTACTTGTATTTCCTTGGGGAATGGGCAGTTCCCTCATCCTTGAGGATTTCTTTGACAGGAAGTTATTGTTGCACATTTCACAGACTGAATAGATAAGGGGGATGACAAATCATTGCTGGGATGATAGAAGTATGTGCTTATTACTTTTATTGACTGAAGTGTTACAGACATGCCCAGTCATTTAATTATTAGACAACAGTAAATAGTTGGTACCTGCTGTGGAAAAAGCAGTGGATTCTTCATCTGCAAGACCAAAAAATGCTGCTCTATGTAAGGGCTGTGGGCTTTTATAAAAAGAGTTAACTCACTTGACTGTGGTGGTCTGAATTTTTCCTGGTAGTAAATTGGCTCTGCAACTTGTGATTTGTCATAGATGTTCCTGTCCATGGAATGAACCCTATGAATAACGCTACCAAAGGCTGTAATGAGTCCATGGATGATTCAACAGGACCATGCAGCTGTCAGGATTGTTCAATTGTTTGTGGTCCAAAACCTCAACCCCCTCCATTGCCTCCTCCTTGGCTATTGTTTGGTTTGGATGCTGTGTATGTCATCATGTGGATCTCATACATGGGCTTTCTACTCATATTTTTTGCACTAGTGTTTGGAGTCTGGTGTTACAGGTAAAGAATTCAAAATGCTGAGCTCTGCAAGTCACTTGTTTATCCCTGAGAATTTCTTTGCACTGGTCAGATGCTTATGGCTTGGCTATTTCAGGCAGCCAGAAGTCATGTTCTGTAACAGATACCATATATACTTACAGGAAGTGTTCTAACAGCTAAAACCACCTGGTAGAAAGTGAATGCAGAAGTTGCTTTAGTTGTTGGCACACCCATCATAGCATTCCTAGCTACAGAATCACATATGCTGTTCTTCAACTTTCT